GAACACTTCAGTAGCTGCATCGATAGCAAATAAGTATGACATAAAAGATTCACAAATCAAATATGTCATACAGAAAGTTAACAATCGAAAGATTAGAACGTATACTAGATTAAGATGTAATCTAGTTAAGTGGTCATCGCGCATGGCAACTTCTAACAGAATCCCGATGGTTTATAGAAGTAAATGCTTCCTGTGTGAGGGGCCACTAGAAGATTTAGAACATTGTTTGATAGATTGTGCTCTCTTAAGTGAGACCAGAAACCAATATGCAGAGAAACTGCCAGTCTTACAATGTTCAAGAACAAGTAACCAAGATAAAGTAAAGTTTATTCTTGGTAACAAAGAAGGATTGAAACACAATCCAAGTAAAGTTAATGAACTCTGTACATGTATAGAGTTCATAGACAAAATGATTGTTAACAGAGCTATTCTAATACAGAATAAGCTTAATGATATCAATCACAACAATTAGATGAAAATCGATACAATTAGTAAATAGCAATATTTACAAAAAAGGTTCAGAAATGAAAGAAAAGAAGTTAATTTTAATTAACAGAAAATTTTTTTAATTTTGACCTGGGGGAGGTCAGGCATGATACTGTTGCTGTATCGCCCCGCTGAACTGAGTTGTGTTCTTAAATGGTGTATTGAGCCAGGCGATGTTGTTCTGTGCACTCACTTAAGATGAGAGATGGTCTTTAAGTAGACCAAGGATTCTGTATCATAAGGGAACGTTCTTTTCTCCTATAAGCAAGGCCGTAAAGGTATGCTAGCGTGTAAGCGCAATATTGATGTTTTATTTTTACAGTGGAGTTTTTGGTGGCCTGGTGGTTTTTCTTCTGTTGCTCATTTTTATTTTTTAACAATAAACTTTTTATTTTTATTTTTATTTTTTTTTATTTATTAATTCAGATATGTTTTTAAATGGTACTGAGATAAATTGAAATTTTATCTGTTACAATAAAAAGATTTAACAATTTTTATAAATAATGCAAAAATGCGCCAAAACTTAAAAAGTGAACCGCAACTTATGCTATTAAAAACAGCACAAATTTGTATTAGTTACTTACATACAAAGTCATGAAAAAATTTCTTTTGAAAGATTCATGCTGTTCTTGCGAAGCTATTAATTTTAATAGTTCTTGTATTTCATTTCGACTATTGTTTTTATTTTTCAAGAAAATATTTGCAACCAACTTCAGATTCTTAAGACAAGCAATTAACTCTAAGGTAAAATTTTTATTAGAAAAATTTATGATTTCTTTAAAATTTCTTTTGTCCAAATTCTGGACTTGCTAATAATAAACAACTTTATGAGGTATGTGAGGTGCTTACTAGGAATAAACCCTAGTTTATAATACAATTCTAAATAATTTTTTATTAATGGCTCTATTGGCCGAATACTGCTAATAATGCTCCCCTTGTAGCTAGTATTTTTGTAATAACTGTTCTTGGTATCGGTTCTTCTTCTTATATATATTCGTGTAGAGATAAATTATTTACATTTAAAAAAATAAAAATTTCTTTTTTATAGAAAATACTTTTTTTACATGTGGTCTCATGCCACAGTATGTTTCACAATGATTGTTTGTTTTTTTTATTAGTTAATGTTGTTTTTGTTTGTTATGTGAACAAAAAAATAAAATACAAATTTTGACCCTAAGGAGATTCAGATATGTTGAATTAATCTAAACTAGCAAATATTAAAAATATGATTTAGAAGATTTCCAAGACTGTAAAGCAAATATAAAAATAAAAAATTATATTTAAAACATGTTAAAGAAATATTTTCACTTTTGATATGTCAAATAAGGTTTAATTTTTATTGTAAACTTTTCAACTTTTTTTTGTTAAAGAATTTTAAACAATCAGCTTTGCATTTTTATAAGGATAAAGTATAAAAATTTATCTTATCATAAACATAAATGCCATAAATATTATATTAAAAAATTTTATTTTGTAAAAAAACTCATATTCTATTGCACCTAAATGCACAAATTTAAATAAAAAATATTGCAAGATTTGATGCTTATATTTCTTTAACAAGTTTTAACTATTGTAAAGTTTAGATGAAATGCAGTAAATAGTTGTGTGGTTTACTATTTTTAATCTTTGTTTTTTTTCCAAAATTGCTAATTTAACAAAACTTTACAAATGATCAAAAAATTGGGTGCTAAATTAAAAGTACTTTAAATTTACTTTTAAATATATTTCAGCAAAAAATACAATTAAATTTAAAAAGCAAATCAATTTTATTTTTTTTTTATAGAATGCATAATTTTATAGTGATATGATATTTTATTTAGTTACTATATGCTATATGATTTTAAAACAAGTTTTTTAAAAACAATTGTAGATAAAAATTTTTAAAATACAATTTAACAAGCGTAAAATTGATAATTAAATATACAACTTTTTTTGGTAATTAGATTACGCAATTTACCAAAACATTTTGTATTAAAAAAATCATTTATTTGTAAATTTTAATAGTTCAAAACATAATCTACTTTTAGTGAAAAAAATAATGCTTAGTTTTGTATTATGTGATTTAATTATTCATCTTAATTAAATTATGTTGAATTTTAATTCTAAACATCAATTTAATTTAGAACTTATAAAAATTATTTATTGTAATTTGAAAAAAATGTTATATTAAGTCTTTGCAAAAATAATGACATTTTTTTTATTAATTTAATGTCTCATTGAAAATTTATTTAAAATATAAATAGATAAAAATTTTATGACCCATGAATATTTTATTAATTTTGTGTAATTTGCTACAAGCAGCATTGTATACTTGTATTGATGAAATGTACGATGAAATTTTACAACATTCAAGTAAACCAAATTATACAATTGATACTGCAAAAGAATCAATTCATGTTGTTATAATTTGCA